TTTTGCAAATGTCAAAATCAATATTATAAAGAATAGGAGTCATTTCCCCAAAATGTAGTCTTTGAGAACATTTTCATTAGAGTGATAGAAGGCACTGCATATTAATTGCTCTTCAACATTTATTCAAGAAGCTTTGAGAATTTAAACCACTGGTGGAAGTTAGGAGAACTGCAGCTTCTAAACAACTCCAAAAATCAGTCATTTAATATTTCCCTCTTTGGGTTGTTGTAAGGCATTTTGATTTTCTGACCATCCACAAGGTGGAAGCTAGTGGCCTTCTCTTTACAGAGGACAGCCTGCTTGTTGGACTATCACTCGGCCCTGAGCAGTGCTAAATAAGAAAACCTAGATGAGTAAAATGTGTGGGATAGGGTTAAAACAGAGCAAAGGGCAAAACCTGCCCCTTAAGAAACCTATCTAAAAATCCCATTAATGTGCAAGGGGGCAGAACATCATGTCTGCTTTGGAGAGGATGACTTTAATTATATAATATGGTCCTCAGCAAAGATATAAATTCTCACAGTGTCTTCTGCCCTTACTGTAGACTCAGAAGAGCTACTGAGCCCAGAAAGGAGGCAGTTCTGTCCTCACACTCCACACTGCTCTGATGAATGCTGGTCTCCTGAAGATGTTGAGATGGAAGCTGAGGGCCTTGTCACTTTCTAGTGCTATCAGAAAATCTTGCAACTGTCAGGGAATAAACTGTAGCTGCACTCACTCTTCTATGTTTCTTTCTTGTGGCTGCCCATGACATCATTTTTTCTACCATCCAAAATAAGTGGCAGGACATAGCCTCCAGAAATATATTTCAGGCTGCGTGCATGATAAATCACCTTTCACTGCAAAAGGTGAAGAACTGACAGCCCTGTGTCTATGCTTCTTAGCCATGTCCTTTAGAAAGAAAATTGCCTCCATCTGTTTTGAAATGTTTGTTTAAGTTCTGGAAATAAGAAAGATCTATTTACATGGAAGTATTTTTTTTTTTTCTTTTTCCCTGGAGGTATCCATAATCTTGTCTTCTACAGTGGTTGAAGCAAAGTTCAAGAGATGTGTGGCCAGAGACAGGTTTATGATTATTTCCTTAGAATTGTCTATTTATTTATGAGCTAGGTTAGCCTGGCTTAAGTAATGTATTCAGCAGTCTCAGTTCTTTTGTCAGGAATATAAAATACCTTGAGTGTTTGAGAAGTTGATTTTTATTAATTCTCAGCCCTTTCAAAATTCAGTTTTACTGCTGTCCTTTCAAGTGTTCCTGTCTAAGACCAAGTGCTGACTACAGCAGCTCATCTTGGGAAGTTACTGAAACCTCTGAAAGAGAATAGTCAGGCTGGGAGACAGTCAGGCTGGGAGAAAGCACAGCTCACAGCCAGGCTGGCTCATCTGCTTAGATGTAGGCAAAGAGACACCTGTGTCTTCCAACTTCTTGGGTTTCTGTGGCTCCCATATCTCATTTTAGATCCTGTTTTTCTTCAGGGCACAAATGTGGGCTTCTGCTTGGTGGTCTGATATGACCTATGGGAAGACAACTAGCCATTTATGTCTATAAAGTAGTGTAAAACTGAATTCTGCAATATGAGCTAGGGGATCAAGAGACGCAGAATAAGTCTCCAACATGAGATTTTACTTTGCCCTTTCAAGATTTTACACCCTCTGGTTAAGTAAAATATTTTATACTCTAAATATTTTAGACTTTAAAATATTTTAGACACCAGGCTTTCTTTACAGAGTTGTAAACTAATGTTTTTCCAAGTTGCCAGTTCCCCTTCTGTTATTTCACCTTTCCCTCCACACAGGTGAGCCCTGGGGGCTGAAGAATCAATTCTCATCTTCAAAGATGTTAAAGCAGCTAATAAGATTGATAGGGTTACCTTCATCTCCAGATAAAGCTGGCCAGCTTTTACTTGCTGCTCTGTATATCAAAAATTTCTACCCCTCCTTTAGAAAAAGAAAAATAAAGGCTAATATTCATTCTTGATTGATATCTGATAAACATTTGAAGGCACAAAGTACAGTGAGATATAACTGGTGATGGAACAAAATTTTTCTTTTTTGTTTTTAGATGTTTTATGAAAAGGACATCACAAGCTGTAACTGTTTAGGGATTTAAAGTTCCTACATGTGTCTCAGTTACAGTAAGTGTTTATAGCAATGTGAAATCCCTGTTGTCAATCTGCATCTTCTAACGTGACTGATTTTGTAGTCTCTGTTGAGAACTGCTAATGAAAGTTTTGTTTAGCATGAACTCTTCTCTATCTTTTAAAAGCCTGAAAAGAATCTCCTCCCCTACACAGAAAAAAATAACCCAAAATACAGCCTCGTACAGATCAGTCTACCCAACGCAATGGAGTAACAGCATGGTCCATGGTCCTGGGCAGTTGGACTGACAAAGGAGAACAGTGGTACTTCACTGTTCCCAGTGCAGACTGGCACTGAAAGAAGACAGGACACGTAGCTAGCCAGAAGATTTCACACCTTTTTCTTGGCGTAAATTCTGATGAAGGTCTGATTCCCTTTCTCATCCATGGTGGTCAAGTTTTTCTGCACGCCTTGTATCACTAATGCACTATGTTTGTCTCCCTCCCTGTCCTGGTTTCAGCTTGAACAGAATTTTCTTCCTAGTAGCTGGTGGAATGCTGTATTTTGGCTTAGGATGAAAAGAGTGCTGATAACACCCCGATGTTTTAATTGTTGCAGAGCAGTGCTTATACCAAGCCAAGGACATCTCAGCCTTTTGCTCTGTCCTGCCAACGGGCAGGCTGGGGGTGCAGGAAGAGCTGGGAGGGGACAGACCCAGGACAGGTGACCCAAACTAGCCAAAGGGGTATTCCATACCATCTGACGTCATGCTAAACAATATATAGGGGTGGCTAGCCGGGGGAGGGGGCCGGACTGCTCGGGGTTAGGCTGGACATCAGTCAGCGGGTGGTGAGCAATTGCATTGTGCATCACTTGTTTGTACATATTATTATTATTATTATTATTATTATTATTATTATATTATTATTATTATTATTATTATTATTATTATTATTAATTTTCCTGTCTTATTAAACTGTCTTTATCTCAACTCACAGGCTTCACTTTCCATTTCTCTCCCCTGTCCCAGAGAGGGAGGGGGAGGGATGAGCGAATGGCTGCGTGGTGTTTAGCTGCCGGCCGGGTTAAACCAAGACACTCCCCTTCTCTCCGGCTTGGTCACAGTCTTAGTCTCCTTTCCTTGGCTCCTCTTCTACTTCCTAGCGCTAATCTCTTTGTCCAGACACTGTTTCTATCTTAATCTCTGCCTAATTTATAGGCAGAGATCTACATATCTCAAGATCTCAGAAGTGTCTACTGATCTGGTAAAAAGGGTAACATCCAAAAACTTCAGCCTGAATGATAATCTATGATTTGCACAATTATTTTAGGCATAAAGGTAACTCTTCTGTCATATTTTCAAATGGTGGAAGTGGTACTAAATCTGCTAAGAAATGTTTCAAGGGTTGCATGGCATGAGTAATGGAGCATATTTTTCTCTGTCCTCTCCTCAAAACAGTTGTGGTTCCTCCAGTGAGAGTTTCTGGTTAAGTTCAGCCTGTGGTAGATATACGATGATGAGTTTTATTTGTATAACTGATGTTTGGCAAAGTTATAAGCAACTCAAAGCAGGTTGTTAGATGAGAACCTTAGTAATCATGCCCCACTGCCACGTGCATGCAGTTTTGTGCCCTTGTGCATGTGTGGGTCTGTGCATCAGGCAAGAAACATAAAAGAGGTTGTTTTCCACCAAGTAAGTAGTTGTAATACTTTGGCAGAGCCCTCAAATCAAAAGGTCATGGAAAAGTCAAAGCACACAAAATCCACCTTGCTCCACAGGTCTCAAAGTCAACTGAATAAGAATTGCTTCAAGGATTAGGATTAATTCAGGACAGAACTGTGCTCCTGTCTTGGTATATACATAGCCCTCACTGATAGGATTCAGGAAAGAGAGAATGAAAAACAGTGGAAAGAAAGTCTCATCTTGAAAATGTTTGTGCAGAAAAGCAGTTCCAGTGAGCAACCATGCTAATAAAAAAAAAGAGAAGGCAATTTCAGCTATTGCCAGGACTTTCATGCTCTGCTTAGGCTGCACCTTTGATCCTGTATGAAATCCCCAAAGCTTCATGCCACCTGACAACGATGTCCCATCTCCTGTGAACTGGTTTAAAGGACGAATCTGTTTCTAAAGGACAGAAAATGCATGATACAGGCTCTACTTAGGAAAACCCATGTGATTTCATAAAAACAGGGTTATGCTTCACTGGCTTGTTAGAACATGTTGAGTTTTACTGTCAGTGTAAAGGCTTCCATAATGAAACAGCACTACACTGGATAGGATATTCATAAAGCTTTTAAGCCAATTCCTTGGTTTCCAATTAAAATAACATCTAAAAGGCAGAGTTATAGAGCCATGAGATATTAGTGCAGTGCTTAAAATTAGGCTAATTCTAGAAACCAACTCTTAAAAAAAAATAAAAAAAAATTAATGACCATGAGAGACTCTGCAGAAGCCAGCTGTGGGACGTGAGCTTTGTTATTGTTTATATTAACGAGTATAATGACACTGAAATCAAGGTTTTCTGGTTTGTAAATTACGCTAAATACCAACAAATGATATGGGCTTTGAAATTGGACTCTGAAGCAATATCAAATAGTGAATGTGATTAAATATAGATAAACAGAGAACAATCAGTCATGGAACTAGAAACCAAAAAAGCAATTGCAAAAAATGGAAATCTGCTGCTATAAACTGACAAGAAAAGAAATTTGTCAAAGAAAGAGAAAATGTATCAGAAGATGTCCTGAGTTCAGGCAGCAGTTTCAATAATGAATGCAAACAGGACATTGTCTGCAGTGCTGGGGAATATAATCATCTGAAAATCAAAGGGAGAGGTAGAGCAGTGTTTCTGTACAACGTATTAGTTAAAGACCTTCTATAGTAATTGTCATTATGCTTTTGAAAAAAAAACCACACACACAAAAAAAATTAATTTCTCTTAATGGGACAAAATAGAGATGAAGTCTAATATTATGCATTTCAAAGATTTGAATGATAGAGAAATTGTATAAAAGAGACTCATTGTTTGGTGAAGAAGGCTATACATGTAAACATTCTTACAATGAACCATCAACATTGCTCCTGAGGAAAAAGTACACATAGGTAGGAATAACAGAAAAGAAATATATTCCCCCCTGGTAATTCTTACCCAAATGCCCTGGTGCCTTCTCCTCTCCCTACAAGGTGAGGACAGCACTGTTAAGAGGGGTAAATGGCAATGAAATATGAAGAAGGCATGTGCTGGGAAGAGTACTTCACATGAGGTGTCTTTGGTGCAGTAATGGACATTCAGGAGATGTCCTGAAGAACCAACAGCTATTGTTACACACCATTTATGAAGAGATGTGTTCTACTCTTTAGAGCTTTCAATGCAGATGAGCAAAAGCAACCAGGGACAGCAAGACATTTGCAGTGCAGTGACTTAGATGGGGAGTGGAACCACAGTTTTGTAGTGTTAGAAGTACAACACTATTTCTGAGGTGTAGAACATATGTATAGCGAAGATTAATTCTGTTCATAGCTTTCCCATGGGCTTTTTCGGCAGCTGCAGTTCTCCTCATTTCTGACCCTCAATTTCCAGATCTGCTGTGTGCCCCTTTCCTTTATTGCTGCTGCAGTAGAGCCTAAGCTCTCTAACACATTTAATACATTTATCCTGTACAGCACAAGCTGTTCAGCATGAATGTATTGCTCTTTGCTCATCCCTCTTGTGTTCCCATGGCACTACTGTTGACAGGTTTTGAACACATCACAGATAGAGAGGAGGAGAAGAAGAAATGAATCAAGCTAAAATCACAGGCAATGAAATTTCTTTCTTCTGAAACCTCTTTTTGCTTTATGTTTCATCAGAAAGTTCATTTATTACCCTGTTTTTAAGTGAGTTGCCTATTCTACCTTCAGGATCCTAATTGCTTTTCAGATTGTGTATATCATTAATACGCTATATCTTCATTTTCTAGCCTAGGTAGTAATCAAGCGCTCAGTCATTGTTATACTCACCATTCTGCCAACATTTATTAAAATGAGGCAATTAACTATTGTCTTAAATGGAGTTTAGAGGTAAGGCTCATTAGTTTTAGACTCATTACAATTAAGTGGGATGATAAATGTAAAATTATTTCACTGCAGCTTTGTACAGAAAACTTGTTTGATTATGTACTGTCAGTGTTCACTTTGTGTTGCGATTTTGCAGTTCTTCTGGGCCCATTTTATGAAAATCCAAGCCATTACACAGGCACTGTTATAAATGGTAAATTGCATTCCATTCACAGTCCCTGTGTTTGACATTGGAGTTATCCTGCCTCTCATCTTCTGTAAGGCAAAGCTGCCCCATGAGAACTAGATCTGCTGTCTTCTGAAAGTAGTTACACCGTTCAGTCCTAGGGGCTGTTTTATTCTTAATCTTGGTCCCTTGGCATTTGATTTTCTCTCTAAATACTTATGAATAAAGTATTTCTAAAAGATCCATGCAATAGCATGAAGAGGTTATTATTCCTCCATTGCCTCTGTAAGTGTCTCCATGTTACTGTAAATGGTGCTGTACGTGCTGTAAGTTAGCTGGTTGTGATGTACAAAGTCCTATTATGAGGTCCACAAAATCTTCAAGGTACAGCCCTCAAAGCGCATTGAGAGAAATTGTTCAGCATGAGCACTCAGGAACACTCTCAGGGCAGAAAGCACCACCCTTCTAGCCAAGACCTCCAAATTTGACCATCTAACCTTAAGATCTATCACACAGAGTGACCTGGTTTCAGAGGTTGATCCCCCCTACTCTGCTCAGCTCCCCTACATGGAGCTTTCAACTTAAGTCCTTTTCTAATTAGGGTCTTTGAACAGAAAAAGGTCATCAGGATCTAAATATACCCAGCCAGGCTTGCAGGTGCTGTCATTGGTCTCCTCAGAGGGAAACCTCTGATGTGTGGGGCATACCACGCCACCACTCAAACCTGAGGACAATACACTTGCTTCACTTTTTGAAAGTTTAAACATCCTTTAACTTCCAGGCTGGTATTTAACCAAGTTGCCCAGTTTGGCTTGTTCATTGTCTAGAGACACAAGAGTGAGGAATATTATTAATATCTAAAATAAGAGAGACTGAGGGAAAAAGTAAATAATAATCTTGGTCACTAAATGATCCCTTAGGGCATAACTATGCAGTACAACTTTTCTGTGCCTTTGAACTAGCAGCTGAACAGGGCACTGTGAAAATATTTCCAGAGGTGGGGTATGTGTTCTCAGAGATGGGGTATTCTTATCTAGAGACCCAAACATACTCTCCCTTGTAGGACATATTTCAGCTTTCATATCACTGGAGATGTAAATTGCATCGACACTTTGTTTATACTCATTTTAGAAAATTAAGGAAATCCATCAAAGTAAGGAGTAACCTAGATCTGCCCAGCTCCACACCTCAGTAGCTTCCTCACGCATTTCCACAATGAGATAAAAGGGACAGAGCTGGCTAATGGCTCTTTGAAACCTGCCAGGCTTTCCTCTCGGTTTGTGACAGCTTTGAGAATCCCTGGGCTGGCTGCAAAAATGCTGCTGCTGTAGTCCTTGCTCCAAGCTGTTCTTGTCTTTGAAACCAGACCGCTAAAGTCGGGGGGAATCTGGCCTCTATCTGCAGGGAGGTCATGATCAAATGCCTAAGAAAATTGCGCTGAGTCACAAATGGTCTTGCTCATCAGAGAAATACCACTGGCAGATAAAGAGGACTCTGTTCAGTCACAAATGCGTCAGTGAATCCCCAAGTACAGGGGAGCTGTGTCAGGTCCGCAGCATATGCCAGGGTTGGACATATTTGCACTGGGGTGTCACATTAGTCATGTCATCTCCTTGAGAAAAAAAAAAAGAAAAAAAAAGTAAGCTTGAAGAATTCAGTCTCTTTTTGGAGTCTCTTCTAGAAGCTCACTAACATAGATGTGCAAAAGACCTGTTTTTTCACTTCATTAGCCAAAAAGAAAAATGGGACAGGGAGCAGTGGGAAAGAGGAAAGGATTTCTCTCAGTTGAAAGCCAAAGCCTTTGCGAACAGGAAACTAAGAAATAATTCATGTCACATTGAATAAAACCTTGTACTTGATCCAAAACAAAATGCTTATATGAGGAGTCTCTTTTATGTTTGAAAGTTTAATAAAAGCAGTCAAACTAAATTAAATCAAACCTGACTTTGAGTGAAGGCCTCTTCTTTTAAAAAATGTCAGAGCAACAGGTGACAAGGCAAGCAAGAAACCTGCGAAGTGCAAACAGAATGATAGAATAATTTAGCCTGGAAGGGACCTCTGGATCTGCTTGCTAAAGGCAGTGTTCAGCTGAGTTTGAGCATCTTCTGGTTTGTAGATTTCACATTCCCTCTTGGAAACTTTTAAACAAGATGGCCATGGAGCACCACTAGATAGGCTTCTGCAGGAGGGGAAATCATCAATGCAGAGTCATGGCACCTCAGCTATCTGCTACTCCTCAGAAGCAAGGCAGCAGTCACTCTGCCCAGCATCCACACAACTTATTGTCATCTGAACGTTAGATGAGGGATATAAACAGCTTTTTTTTTTTTTTTTGCTTTTTTTTTTCTTTTTAAATTCATTTTTATTATTGTTATTGTTGTTATTGTTGTTGTTGTTATTATTATACAGAGACTCTGAGATCAGGTTTCTAACCCAGAAAACAATCACACTGAGTTAGTGACTAAGGTTGACCCTGAAGTGTGCACAAATCACATCACTCTAACGCCTGGGCATCATAGTGGTGTTAGCTCAGCCTTTCTCTTAACAGGCTGTGGGGAAAGATGTGTTACTGTCTTCTTTCCATGGGATGGGGAATAACGCATGGAGAGACTGTGGCTTGAATCTTCAAGGGCACCTAGTATGCGTGGATGCCATGGAAGAGAAGCAGTGTCTAATTCCTTTTAAAAAATGACTCCCTATGAAATTTGTTCAATGCTTTCCAACCAGGCTGCGGTAGAGCAAAAACTGAACCTTTTCTCCATGGCCTTAGTACCTTGAGTGCTGGAGCAGGCTCTCATTAATGGTGGCTGTTCTCAACAAATGAGTTTTTTTGTGAAATGTTGCCTATAGAAACCTGCAGAAGGATTCGTGATTCTTACATTTGATCTGCAGATAGAGCTTTAAAAATGTCAAATGTGGCCCCAGGTGAGGCCAAAAATGCTGGTTTGGAGCTGGCTAGCAACACACTTGAGAATCAAGTATTTTGGCATGATATGAAACTTATATTATCACTCTGGTTTGTAAAAAAATAAATAAATAATTCCTTAAGAATCCATCATCCTTACCAGTTTGCAGTGACAACTTTCTTTATGCGCATAGAAGAATCTTTCCCATAACCTCAGACACTTCACTTTGATCGGTTCCTTGGCTTTTAAACTGTAATGTGTAATATAACATACAATTTAAAATAACAAAATGAAAACAAGTAATTTCTGATTAATCAAAATGACTTGATCTTTTTCAGAAAAAAAAATAAATAAATCAGTTCAGACTAGTACATTATTTCAAGCTATTCTGTGTTAAAGGGAGAATAAACCAAACCAAACAACAAAACAAAACAAGCAAACAAACCAGTAAGCTTGTGTTTTCAACATGGTACCAGATTAAATTTCATATCTGACAATACTTCTTGGGTCAGAAATTTTGTTTTTCAGCTTGTTCTCATTACGGATTTCCTGGGAGAGCTCAAGAGGTAACAAAACATAATACAGAGAGGCTACAGAAAGCCTAAAACCCTGTAACAAATATTTTAGGGAATGTACTTTGTGCTTTCAATTGTGCAGTATTGCGTCCATGTAACCAAGAGGAGAATTTGTGCCTTTCTGAGAAACTTGCACAGAATCAGGCACTGCCATTTTTCTGCATCAAATCCTCAGGAGCCAGTATATTCAGTATATAATTATATTACTTTCAGCAAATAAATAAGATCAACACTGAATTATTGGTTTCAACAGTAAAATTCCAGGCAGCAAGCCTCATTACACTTGTTTGGGAAGGGAATTTAAATGAACGAAATTCAAAGCGTCTGACTTACAGTGTCACACTGCAAACGGCCTATCACTCCTGTAAATCACTCTCAACTGCCTCAACCAGCAGTTTACCAGAGAGTTTCTGCTCACAATACACTACCTCTAATTTAAGAAAACCTGCTAGCAGCAAGGGTAGGAAGCCCAGGTGCCTTTACTTACACATCCTGTGTTTGCCCAGAGAAGAAGGGGAGTGGATGGACTGATTTGTCAGATTAGATGTGACCCCACTTCCTATCTCGCTCAGAACAGAGTGTCTGTGATTAGTAGCTATCTGTGAAATCTTCAAAGTGAATTGAGACTTAGTGGTCTCATCTGACTCCCTAATGGTATGTAATCCCTGCGCATAGGGGTTGAGATGAGTTGATGTGACGTAATTTGTAATTAGGCTGCTTGAAAAGCTGAGAGCTGTCAGCTAGCTGGGTAAATCCTGCTTTCTCCAGGGAGTGTATTTTACAGTGTAAGATAAAAAAAGCAGCAAAGCAACCACACAGCTTTCAACAAAGCTGAGAAACACCACTCACACTGTTCATAGCCCCTCACTTTTCTCTCTCCTTGCCTCCTGCAAATAGCCTCTTCTTTCCTGGGATGTTCCCTATTCTTGGTAATGTGGCTTACTTCCAGAAACTGGGGTTGCTTCCTGTATCACTGATGTGAATATCCTAGTTGTGGCTCTAAAGAAAAGGAAAGTAAATACTACATTCATTCAGATCCTCACTTCATGCCTATTTAGATCACCGCTGACTTCAGTAACCCTGAAATAATTCTATTTCTGTTTGTAGGAGATTTAATGGCCGGTTGTCACTCTATTTTAAACATCAATATCACATTGTGTTTCTCTAAATGGATGATCCAGGTGTTTTCTCAGGATTAATAAGGCCTATTTCTTGTCCTTCTCTTATTTCCTGTTCTAATTCAGAAGGAGCTGGTTCCTATGGCATCTGACTTAAATCCTTGTTAGAGTACAGGGGACTGTGTGAGGGACCCTGGGGATCTCAGCATTTCTCTGCAAGGGACTGCTTCATATTGAAAGTTCATTTTATGTCACTCCACTGCATTTTCATTGTTCATCCTCCAATCCAAGATTATCTTTGCCCATCTGTCATTTATCCTACCAGTTACATGACCTGTGAATCACCCAGCTTTTCTCTTAAAATCTCTCTCTCTCTCTCTTTTTTTTTTTTTTCTATGTTCATTCATTACTGGAAGTTTGTTTGTCAAAAAAGAATTACCAGCATATAGTTTAACCTGAAATAGCAGCAAGCTCCACAATGTGCAGCAGAACTATTTGTGCATGCATCTGTAGCTATGTGTGCTACTGCAGCCTCAGCCCCTGCCCTGAATATGTGATTCCCCCATATAACACAAGGGCAGCAGAAGTCTGGAGAAGCACATGTGTACATGCTGCAGCCCTCGAGGAAGTCCAGATGGCCATAATGTCAGATTTTGCATTTGTGATGCTTCTTGAACAAATGCAGGCCTGGTAGTATACACTAAAAAATTGATATTGGAATTTGTCAGTTTTTTTTTTTCTCCACTCGCTGATGCAGTTTGCACTCACACTCCCCTAATATTGCCCTTGCAAAAGTGCTCTTTGGCAACTGGTTTACGTAGGAAGTAGGTCTGTCATCATTCCTAACTTGCTGGTCTTCTGCCTTTCTGGATCACAGAAGGGTTTTGCTTATGCTCCTTCTTGCTAAGCCATGCAGTAGCCATATGTGGGTCTTAGCACAAAGAGGCAACCTTTGACTGAAAGAAAATCCGTGTCCCCAGAAGAGCTGTGGTCCAACCAAAGCTATTGCACCTGAAACAAATTAATACAAAGCTATCTGATGGACTTATGCTATACAGAGATCTAATAAGATGTTCACGTAGAGTCCCTTTTGGCTTTAAAGCCATCCTTCCTGTCTTTTTTCTTAGTGAGTAATTACTCAAGAGGGAGACTGAAAATGTGATATTGCTGCTACTTATATGCACTTTGCATTATATGGCATCTTTAAAGCTTCATTTGGGGCCGTGTCCCATTATGCTGGGAGCCATAAAGGCAGAGGGGAAGTCACTGTTGACCTCAGGGAAATCAGCATTTAATTTAATAGCATAAAACAGGTGGCTGTGAAACTTGGAGGTTGGCAAGGCCTGGGAGTGTGGACAAATGGAGGGAAAAGGCTAATGGGAGCAGTTCAGACAGTTGGAGAATATATGGCAAGTTAAACTGACATTTTCCATTCTAACTCCTCTCCACTGCAATTCTGTGTTTAGGCTGCTGTAAAAGCAGAATAAGTCCCAGCTGTTTTGTCTCAGTTCCCACGTACAATGTCATAATTTTTTACTAGATTTTAAATGTTTTAAATTCTTTGTCCTTGCAAAATTGTTGCTGTTACCTGGTGCTATAACCACCCTGCTGCTGGTAAAAGAACAGTGTCTTAATGTTTGCAGATGGCTGCTGTAACCAGAACTTGGAGCAGTCTCCTACACCCAAACAGCATAGCACACTCTCCTGTACCTCTCTCTTGCTTCCCCTTTTTAGTACATGTACAAGCTTTTGCTACCTCAATGACGACTAAATGGTAGCCCAGGGGAAAACACAGAGGTGCTGGACAACAGCTGCATCCTTCAGCATTGAAGGATTGGTGGATAGGGGTAGAAAAGCTAGAAAATAGTGTTAGGCAATATTATTTATGTTCCAGGTGGGCTCTAACCACTGAGCTCAAGGGCACATCTTTCTCTCTTGCACATGATACTGAGCTTCTTCTATGGTCAGGAAGGAAGCAGGGGGCAAGACAAGCTACTGGCTTCAGACTCCAGGCTTAGTTCCCTCCATGTCTCTAGTCTTTGCAAAATCTGTGGATTTTCATGGGAATTGCATTAGATTAGATTGAATGCCAAACATCTGTTCTCATCTCCCTGCTTATGGAGGTGCTGGAGAAGTTAAAAGAACATTTCTCCCCCACTTCTGTTAGTTATCTACAATTGAAAATACCATCCTAAATGGCTAAAAACAGGTACGATTTTAATGGGCCACCCATAGAAAAGAAAGTGCCACTGACCCTGCCTGGTACATGGTACAAAAAGAACAAAGACACTTTCCTGTTGTCAGAAATCTCAGTTTACCAGTGACAGGAAGAAAGGAGCCATGACTTCAGCCTCATAGCTGCAGGACGATCTAGAGCAGGCAACTGTCCTCGCGCTACCTAAATCCTCAGAGATCTGAATCCAAATGCTGTCTGTTGCTCATGGAAAGGAAAGGGAGCTCCCACATCCCCTTCCCTTGGTATTGCTTGTGTCTGTGCAGAGGGATGGGTTCTAGCAGCCGTGTGTTAAGACATGTCTGTGTGGAAGAAAAATGTCTTTTCCACAATACCAAACTAAGGCAACATTTTTTTTTTTTTTGAAGTAGAATTTACAAGCCGTTACCCATCACATCCAGAGTATTACTGGAGCTGTCAAGAGAAAGGAATCAGTGTAGAAACATCATTCCACTGAGAAATGTAAAATGGCAACAAGTTGGTCCCTCTACAGTATGTCCAATGCTTAATATAAAATGATGTACAACTAACCTGCAATGAGTTCTGTGCATGAACTCTCTTCTGGGATGCTTGTTTGTGATATCCTTTTTTGTTCAGAAAAATAGCTCCTTTTTAAAACATTCTTCTTTTTTTTTCCTTCATTTTTTTTTAATTTTTTTTTTTTCCAGCACAAACTAATGAAAAAGCTGAGTGATTCAGCTGCTAATGTGATCATAGGAGGGACATGTTTCATCATTTATGATTCTATGGTGATTATAACTCCCTCTCAGTTACTTTCCATGCCACACACTCTGCATTACTAACAAGTGGCTTCAGGCACATTCCTTCTGTGTAGGACAAAGTGCTGGCTCGGTGACCAAGTCTTTTCCTTGCTCATCTGCAATCTGTACTCATTGCTTAGTGCCCTTCTCTCTTCCATTTGCTTCCTTCCAAAACTTAATTTTACATTCCAACTTCAATTAACCTCTACTGATGCATTGTTTCTCCTGGCAAGGGCTCAAGGACCTTGGAGGAATCTCCTGCAAACATCTTCCCCATGCTCTTTCAGGTCTGATTTCAGCTCCTGGATTGAATCTCACACTGGCAAATAGTGGCAAAGTGGCTAAGAACTCCAACCTCCTCCGTCTTTTCCTCTTCTTTTTTTTCCTCATCTTTTTCCCATCCACTCTCCCTTGTTTTTTTCATAGCTTCCTTTTCAGACATGGTCCCATGGTCCTCTCCTTCAGTATTCAAATACTTCTGAGGAAAACAAAACAAAACAAAACAAAACAAAACAACAACAACAAAACGTGTCTGTACAACTCCACTAAAAACATTTGATTTTTTCTCAGCAAATTGTACAAGCCGTTACCCATCACACCCAGCACATTGTTGGGGCTGTACTCACCTGCTTCCCTAATAAACTTCCCACCTCCTTGGTTTCCTTCTCCTTTCAACTCTCTAAAAATGCTGATGACAACAATGAATTCAAGTTTATATTATGCCAGCCATTTTTTTCTGGCTTACTCATCACCCAGTTTTATGGACGATCTGAGTACTCTGACAACTCTTTTTTACTGGCTGTTTAGATCTTTGTTCCCTCCCTGTCCTCCTTGACACTTAGGCTGCTTTTGATATTGTTTCTGTCTTTTTCAACACTTTGTGGCTTGTGGTGTCCTACAGCAACAATTCTTCTAAGAGTTCTTTTCTTCCTGATTTTTTTTTTCTCTTCCACTTTTTTGTTGTTGTTGTTGTTTGTTTGTTTTTTTCTGGTCACTTCTGTAAGTGATGTCAACTCCTTTTCTCCCTTCGTGGTCCTGGTAATCACTCATGTGTTTTGCCCTGCAATCATCTTTCTCTGCCACCTCTCCTTCTTGTGTCTAAGCATCCAGATGCCTAATGGTCACCTCGATTCTCCATACAGACAAACCAAACAGGATGGTGGCTGAGGGAGCACTTTCCAGGAGAGTTTTGGTGTTGAACAGGTTTCTGCACATTTGACACTTCTGTGCAAATTCAGATGAGGTAGTTGTAGATAAATACTGCACAAAAGGCATATTATGGGTGACCCAAGCAGTTGTAAAAGTTAGGTCATAAGCAAGCATATCTTCACAGTATAACAGTAGTTTTACAA